GTAATGATCTCAGCCATAGGATTTCAGCCACTCCGTTAGCCATTGACCTGTATTAAGCTTCAGCACTAGAGCGGGAAACAACACTCTGTTTCTTACTCCTCCAAGAGACAAGGTTACCTCCCACAAGGGCACAATATCCAGAGGTAGACCTCCTGTCATCAGCACTCCCAGCTCAATCGGCATCTGTATAGACCTCCACCTTCATGTGATTATTGTTCTTGAACAGTATACCTCTACTCGGGCATCTCTTCAAGTATGTTAATATTCTCTCTACCACAAGAAGATGAGTAGTTCTAGGGGAATGCATGTACTGGCTGACAACACTAACTGCATAACTGATATCTGGTTGAGTGAGGCAGAGATATAGGAGCTTTCCAACCAATTGTTGGAACATAACTTTGTCTTCAAAAGGCTCCCCGCCCTCTGCACTAATCTTGTGATTCTGTTCAATAGGTGTATCAGCAGGCTTAACACCTAACTTTCCAGTTTCCGCCAACAGATCTAGAACATATTTTCTCTGAGAGATAAAGATCCCTTGTTTAGATCTAGCAACCTCAATACCCAAAAAGTATCGTAGTGCACCAAGATCTTTCACCTCAAACTCTTGATGAAGGAGCTGTTTGAGGGACTCAATCTCACAATTATTATTTCCTGTCGCTACAATATCATCCACATATACAACAAGCAGGGTCAGAGAGGAGTCCACCCTTTTAATGAACAATGTATGATCTGACTGGGCCTATACATAACCGAATTTTCCAAGGGCTAGTCTGAATCTATAAAACCAGGCTCTAGGTGACAGCTTCAAACCATACAATGCCTTATTCAGTCGGCAAACCTTCTTATCTGTCTCTGTATCATAGAATCCAGGAGGCAACTGCATGTAGACCTCTTCCTGTAAGTCTCCATTCAGAAAAGCACTTTTAACATCCATCTAGAACAAGGGCCAAGAATGACTTGCTGCAAGGGATAATAGAACTCGGATGGTGGTCATCTTGGCTACTGGGGCAAATGTCTCCAAGTAGTCAATACCATAAGTCTGGGTGAACCCCTTTGCAACCAGCCGGGCTTTGTACCTTTCAATGGAGCCATCARCATTATGYTTCACAGTAAATACCCATCTACATCCAACTGGTTTCTTTCCTTTGGGTAGGTCAACTAGCTCCCAAGTATTATTTTTCAACAGGGCATCCATTTCAACTTGCATTGCATCTTTCCACTCTGGAACTGATAAGGCTTCTTGCACTGTNTCTGGAACTGATAAGGCTTCTTGCAYTGTTCTTGGAATAGGGACATTGRYAATRGAAGTGAGATAGGACCGGTAAGAGGGAGATAGGCGATCATAGGATAAAAACTGGGAAATGCAGTGAGCTGTAGATGTGGTGCAATGTTGTTTCCCTTTACGGACGGCAATAGGGAGGTCAAGTTCATCTACAGGAGGGGAAGTGGCAACAGTGGAAGGTGTCTCAGTGGGCCCTGGGATTGTAATACCTGGATCTGGAGCCGCAGAAGGAACTGGAGCTGGCCTGGACTACCGATGACTGGGATCAACCTGCCTGCATCGCCTGTGATAGACTCTCAACTCCTGGTCCCTCTGACCACCCTCATCATTATAGCCTTCATCACCCAGTGGAATAGGTAAAGGAACAGCCCCACTCCCACTGCGCTCCCCCTGAGGAAAGAGACCCAAATCCCCACTCTGGGTATAGAATGATGGGGCCCGAGAAGCTGAACGAAACAGGTACAACCAAAGGTTTTAAGGGGAACGGTAAACAACTCCTCGTCTGGGCATAGAAGGGAAAAAGGGGTTTTCATATCAAGAACCCGGGAAGGAACCCAATTAATGAGATATACTGCCGTAAGGATAGCATCACCCCAGAAGCGAATAGGTACATTGGAGGTAAACATAATGCTTCTAGCCACCTCCAAGATGTGCCTATTATTCCTTTCGGCAACCCCATTCTGCTGTGGTGTATAAGGGCAAGTGCTCTGGTGAATAACTCCATGATTAAAGAGGTAAGAGGTCAATGGCTTAGCAAAGTATTCCTTTGCATTATCAGATCTAAGAACTTTGATTTTGGCCCCAAACTGGGTTAGAATCATCTGATGAAAGTTTTGAGTCAGAGCGGGAACCTCATATCGAGAACGCATAAGATAGACCCAAGAAAAAAGGGTATGGTCATCAACAAACAACAAAAAATATCTGTACCCACCCATAGAAGGGATGTGATATGGCCCCCAAACATCAGTATGCACAATATCAAAAGAATTATTACTCCTTTTATTACTCAAAGAATAAGATGTTCTACAATGTTTGACAAACTCACAACTCACATCTCAACTTTGACAACTCAACAGACTCAAATAAAGCAGAAAACAGACTCTTCAAGGACTGGAAAGATAAATGACCTAATCGATTATGCCAAAGCATAACCGGACTCATAAACTGAGAAACAAATGACTTCTTATCCACTGGCTCTTCCCAACGAGAACTCTCTCCGAGCAGATAGATCCCACTCACGGTCAGTCCCAATCACCTTCCTCGTCTCCAAGTCCTGAAAAACACATCAGTCAGGGAAAATGGTTACTGAACAGTTCATATGTTTGGTAATACTACTGACTGAAAGCAGGTTAGTATCAAGCTTAGGAACATGCAAGACAGAAGATAAAGAGATAGTATCCGATAACTTGATGTCACCCTTGCAAAAATGGGAACAAGTGAGCCATCAGCAATGGATACTTTATCTCTACCGGAGGACGAGTGATAAATAATGAACAATGATGGCAAGCTAGTCATATGGTCGGATGCACCTGAATCTATTACCCAACAGTGTTCAATATTACCTGGAGCTAAAGCATGGTAGGCTGAGGCTCGAGTACCTGAATGTGCAAATGCAGATGTGACAGGGGCTGATGGTGACTGAGATGGCTGAACTGAACTCCCAACTTCCTTTTCCAACTGTATTAGGGCAGCCCGAACCGCAGCTAAGGTCTCTAGGGGTGTGCCTTTTGTGCCTGACGAGGATGCTGAATTAGTATTCACAACCACATGAGCATTACCCTTCTTATTTCTCAGTTTTGCTGGGACCAAATGAGGATGTAGCTTCCAACAAGTATCTTTTGTGTGCTTGGGTTTCTTGCAATGTTCACATACCAGGTC